CAATAATAAATAATTGAAATTGAAACTCAATAAATAGTTTAATACAACAAAAAAAAAAGTATGATTGAATCCATGAAAAATATTGTAAATATTAAACCGATTTCAATATAAATTCAAGAGAATTAAAATCTAAATTCTAACATTATTTGACAATGGAAAGATCAAATCAAATGAATAAAATACAATAAATCACCAATTCCAACCGAGATCATTCGTAGCTTCACCAAGGATTTTAGTTCTCCATGAGTTTCTTGAGCAAAAGAGGAGAAGAATGGTGTATGGGGGCTCTCTCCATATGTATTATGCTGTTAAGTATTTGTAAGAGTCGAAAATTGGATGAAAACCACGTCTAAATTGGTTTCCAAAAGAGTTCTAATCGAATAAGGAAAGTTGTCTTCGCGCGATGATTTTTTGTCTTTGCACAGTAGTCAGTAATTTGGTTATAACTTTCTTTTCCAATATCCGATTTAGAAGATTCAAAATGCGTTGAAAAGATAACTCAAATATCTACAACTTTGTTAGAAATAGATCTTTTCTAATTCAAACTTTTACTATGCCAAAAATGGGTCTCAATTTTTTGCTAAAAATCTGGAATATATCTTGTGCGAATTGGAAATTGATTTTGATAATATTTTGATCATATTTCATTACTTTTTGACTTCTAATTTCTTCCAATCGATCCTTAGCATTCTCGAACCTTCATCATGAGCCCGACACAATTTTTGAGTATTTGCACTTTAGTCCATGAACTTTTACTTTCTTCCATTTTGGTCATTTTTCACATGTTTCTTATTTCCGCTACATTCATCACTCGTCCTGCAAAACATAAATTACATAAAATTAAGCTATATTTCAACATATTAATCAACAATTGCTCATATTTTGACAGTAAAATAAGTATGTAAAAACTCCCTTATCAAAGTTGCATTTCAATCCCTTTATTTTAGTGGTGGCAATGGAACGACATTACATGGAACTGGGGCTGTCGATTCCAGTTTAGCTCCAAAAGTTACATGAAATGAAATGTTTTCATTTACAAAATACCAAAGTAATGGGTGGTTTCAATTCTTGAAATGTCCAAATAGAACCACTTGATGCCCACTCATAAACGAGACCATCCGTCAGCTCCTCTTGTTTCACTACGAGTGCATGGCTCGAGCCAAGTTCAACATGTAAAGCCGGTAGTCTTGGAGCCGAACTGCGGGGGCCACAAGTTCCTTTATTTTTTTTTATTTGATTACGTTTAGTTTCCCTTTTTTAAATTCTCTCACTTGAAAAATTCGAAAAGCTTACAAAAGATAGCTCAAGTAAGGCCCATGTGCCGAGCCGTCCAAAGCTCTTATGCGTAGTCTTAAATCATTTTAAGATGAATAACACCAGTTTAGGTGCCATCACGTCATAGATCCTAATAAATAAGTCATAATTTTTTTGTATTTAATTGAACTTATAATTTAATGACAAAAGTGATGTCATCTAAATTGATGTTAAATACCATTTGTGATGAATAGAGTTACTCAAAAGTTTAGTTGGGTCATTAAAAGCTACATCCTACTTAGCCCTTGTTTGGTATAAATTAAAATTTATTACAAAATTTCAAGTTAAAGGGCATCAAAGGAAGGAAGCCTGATTTCATGAAATCCAAGATCGTCACCTACCGTACGGTCTTTTTCAGGCTTTCTAATTTACACCAAACAAGGGCTATTAATTACCATTTCATAGTAAGTCTATCGATACAAAAAAAAAAAAAATCTAAATTCCTGGATCGAACCACAAATATGACGATACGTGTCCAAAGTTTAATGCATTACTTGGTAATAACGTCTCAGCTAATAAACGAAAAAAATTAAACATCAAGTCCCCAAAAAAGTAAAAGAGAGATGTTTCAAGTTCCATAACGAGATGATGCTTAGAAAAGAGAAGTTCCTTTTCCCTTCTTATCTCCACCAATCTCAAAATGCTTGCACCTCTGCAAAACCAACAACAATATGTATTGATTGATATCAGAGTGGAGACATTTTCAGAATGAAAATACACGAGGATGTGAAATCGAAAAGCTGACCTTGATTGGATGCTGAGAAACATGCTTGCAGCCCTGGCATTGCAGCCTCAGCACAATCTTCTTAGTCGTTTTCGCCTAGTTTCAAAGACAACGATTAAAAATGGTAAAATTAGTACATCTAAAGATTGAGAATCAATTTTATTACTATCTTTCTAGTCATCTTAACCTTTTCTTTTCCCATTTAATTCTTTGAATTGTCCAATCAACCAAATGCTACATTTGCTGATGGCAATTTTTATTTTCTTTCTAATGTGTTCTTACCTTCTTGTGGAAGACGGGCTTGGTCTGTCCACCATAACCTGATTGCTTGCGATCATACCGCCGCTTCCCCTGAGCAGCTAAGGAATCTTTGCCCTTCTTGTACTGGGTAACCTTGTGCAAGGTGTGCTTTCTGCACTCCTTGGACTTGCAGTAAGTCTTCTTCGTCTTTGGAACATTCACCTATAAAATCAGTACACAAAAGATCAACTTAAAAATTCAGGGATGCACTGTGCATTGAAATGTTATGATCAAAATCCTCCGAACGTACAGGAAAGCAAACCATATACAGCAAGTTATGTGTTCAGCAAATAG